GTTTCCCCGGGTATCTGAGAAGAGGAGACTTGCTCCCATTATACTTAAGTGTAAGGAACTTATCTGAGAGAATTCTGGCTCCTTTGGAGGAGGCTTGGCCGGAGTCCTGGCTGGGTGAGATAGCATCTGAGTCTGGGGGTGAGGTGGTTGCAGCGGGGTGAGGGAGCTGGTCTGGCACTTCCAGACCATCGCTATCTGCTATTCCTTTCTGTACGTCTTGAAAAGGTGGAGTTGTTAAGCACAGTAATGACCTTGGGGTCTTTATCAGGCGGGACCATAAGCTAGGTAGGTAATCCAGCATACTGACGGCTTCTGTATCCACCTTCTGCTGGTCAGTCGGTGGGCCCTAAGAAATCTGGGGACAGCCAAGCTCCCAGGAAAGGGACAGACCATTCTTCTCCCCTGTGGCCGCTGTGGCTTGCTGCTACCATTGTTTTCTGGGCACCGAGGGCAGCCCTTTTGGTTCCTTATGCTGGAGAGCTTTTACCGCTGGAGCTGGGCAAGCAAAGGCTGTTGTTAACTTACACCCACAAACAGGTGCTGGGAAGGGAGGTGAGGTCAGGTGAGGCCAGAAAGGGAGGAGGGAGGAGGGAGGCCACAGGTAGTTTTGTATCCTTGGGAAGGGTAGGCTGATGTGGGTACCACATCCCACTTGTAGGAACTGTAGATATTGGCTGTGTGCTCTGTCCTGTCCTCTCTCTCTGGTGGGGTAAAGGGCTCTGGTCATTTGGCAGCCTAATGGTAGCACCCCAAGAGAGTTAGCCTGAGCAAATGCCAATGGATAAAACGTCCCAATGGGTCGGTCACTTTGTGTCGAAATGTTTGTAGGTCTGAGCAAAGGCTGTCCTGGCCTGACGTTTCTCTTCCCTCTTCTCCCTGCCCTGTCAGCCCTCCTGGGCCTGGGCTTGAGGAAATCCAGGATTGGAAAAATAGGGGTGGCGGGAACTGTAGCCCCAAAATACTTGATGCACTGTTGCCTGTGCGCACAGGCCTTCCCTGCTTTTGTTCTTTTTGGAAGGGGCTGTCTTCTGTCAGCTCTCCAGCGAGAGCCTGCAGAGGTTATTCTGAGTGAGCGTTCTGAGAGAGCAAGAGGGCCTCAGGGTACTCTAGGGGTTGAGTTTGGGGAATGGACCTTGATTGCCATAGTCTGGGCTGGACACCTCTTGGTGACTTGTCCTCCCAGGCTCTGTCCGCACGTAGTCCCAGTGGATGATGTGTAGGACAGCCTGGTCATAATCCCAGCCCAGCAACAGGAAACAAGTAGCGTTACATTCATGTGGACTTTCTCCAGCCTCTGGGCTTGAGAATCAAAACCGTGGACAGTGGTGTGGCGTTCTCAGGGCAGGAAAGCCTGCCTCTGTGGGGCTCAGGGTGTGAGGGGCTGGGAAAGTGGTGTGACCTGTGTCTCCTGTGGTGCTGGTTTGCAGAGCTGCAGTCGAGAGGGGTGGCAGGATGAATGTGGGCACGGCACACAGTGAGGTGAACCCCAACACTCGGGTGATGAACAGCCGCGGCATCTGGCTCTCGTACGTGCTGGCCATCGGACTCCTGCATGTCGTGCTGCTGAGCATCCCCTTTGTGAGCGTCCCTGTCGTCTGGACCCTCACCAACCTTATCCACAACCTGGTGAGAGCCTGCTTTCTGCCTGCCTCCCACCATATGGGCTGTTCTGGGCCAGAGCTGAGAGATAGGGGGAGCTTGACAGGGGACAGGCTGCAGGTCCTGACAACACCTGTCACCAGAGCCCAGGCCCAGCTCTTATCTCTGCCTTGCCCCCCCTTGGGGGCTGTGGCATACCTACAAGAATCCAGTCTGCACATTGCCTGTGCCTCCGGGATGGGCTCGCTGGTGCATTTGGGGGGCAGCCAACCGAGAGCTGAGACCTTGTTGAGGTTGCCCCCAGGTCCCAGGAATCTAGTGCAGAAATGTTTCTTTCCCAAGTTAGGATCTCCAAGCATGTTCTGTTGACCCTCTGTTCCCTAAAACCTGCTTCCTTGTACCCCACTTTTGAGCAGGCAGGGATCTAGTCCTTCTTCCTTGGCTTGCTCATTTTAGCTGGCACATAGGGACTCCAGTTGGGCTGGAGGGCAGCCGGGTATGCCCGTTCTGTAGCTCATTCCTCCCCTTATGCGGTCCCCATGCTCACCCTGTGGGCTTCTGGGTGCTCTGGCGTCTATGAGCTGCCTGCCTGAGCCACTGAAGCGGAGGAGGGTGGCCGTCCACCTGGAGCTGCTTCTCTGTGGGACAGGTGGGGAGCCAGGCTGGGAGCCGACTTGCCTTCTGTGTTTTCTGATGAAGGTCTCTCCTTTCAGGGCATGTACATCTTCCTGCACACGGTCAAAGGGACACCCTTCGAGACTCCAGACCAGGGCAAAGCAAGGTTGCTGACCCATTGGGAGCAGATGGACTATGGAGTCCAGTTCACGGCCTCTCGGAAGTTCTTGACCATCACACCTATTGTGCTGTGAGTGCTTTGGCTGAGGGAGAGACCAGCGGCCGTGGTAAAGCTGGTGGCCTCAGCTGGGCCTAAACTTTGCCCAGCTCTGGCCCTTGGTGTGGGGGTGAGCAAAGGGAAGGGAGTGATGTACCCTCGGGTCTCACACTGGGCCTTGACCTCCCTGGCCCTGACTTTCCTCGACTCCGTGTGCATGAGACAGGCTCACAGGCCTGGGGGAAGCTGGGGGTAGGTCAGGAGTGCTTTGTTAGCTGGTGAGACTTGTCCCTCCATTCTTATCTGGGACCCTTATTTTCGTATCCCCCCCCCCCTCAGGTACTTCCTCACCAGCTTCTACACCAAGTATGACCAAGTCCATTTCATACTCAACACTGTGTCCTTGATGAGTGTGCTCATCCCCAAGCTGCCTCAGCTCCATGGAGTCCGGATTTTTGGAATCAATAAGTACTGAGGTTGTAGCCCCTTCCCCGGCCAGGTTGGCAGGGGAAGGGTAGAAGGCCTTTGCTGTGATGCTGAAGACGGGAGTCTCTGGACACCGCCAGAGACGGGGGTGTGCCCTGGGCCTGGCTTCCCCCTCGCTTCCCCAGTAGCCGACTTGGAGTAGCTTGTAGTGGGGTTAGGGTGGGGCCTTTGGGCTCTAACCCATTCTGAAGTTTTTGATCTTTTCCTTTTGCCTTTTGAATAGAGATGCCGTGGGGGTGGTCGTGAAAGGGGCTGGGCTTTCCGGCTGACTGTGGACCTGAGACGTTGGGCCAGGAAGCTAGGAAAAACCCCTGTTGGCTTGTTGACCCTCAGGCAGCCATAGCACTTTAGCCCCTGAGAAGGGGGCAGAGGGACGGTACGGCTTCTGCATTGTTTCCCCCAGTCTTTCGGTATGTGGGGGGACTCACCTTTGTAGGTATTGGAAACACGTGAGCTGCACTGCCTCCGTCCTCTAGGTAGAGCAATCAGGCTTTGTGGACTTCCTTGCTACCCCTCCTGGGTGAGCTGTGGGCGAGGGGGAAGATTAGGAGAGGATGATGGGGTTGGGGACACCTGGTGTAGAGGTGGGGGCCAGGATGCTGCAGCCCTGGTCCTGGGGAGAGGGGAGCTCTGAGCAGGGGTAGGGTGGGGTCTTAGAATGGTCATGATAGCAGCAGCCGATACGGATCAGTGTAAAAAAGAAAATCTGGGGAGGAGAAGCCAGACCCAGCCTCCTTTGGGGTGTGGGCTGGAGGGAGAGCTGGCGTGGGGGTTTAATTTACCCACAGAATGACGGTGATGGGCACGGGAGACCTCTGTGGACTTGAAGCTCCTGGCTTGGTATGAGGGGTGCACAGGCTGGAGGAGGCCTGTGAGTCCTCAGCAGCACAGGCCCGGTTCGACACCTCCTCACAGAGTGTGAGGGGGCTTCCACGGGCGGCTTCCTCAGCCTTTGAACTTGTGTTCTCATGTAGACTGCCGGGGCAGGGCCTCTCGTGTGGCACACGTGTGAGGGGCCAGGAGGCACCTCCACGTGAGGTCCGTGGGCTCCACAGTGCTCTAGGATCCCTGCCCAAACAGGGTACTAGTAGGGACAGCTGCAGGCACTGTCCCCTCAGCCCGAAGAGAGGTGGTCACGGAGCCTGAGACGAAGCTGGAGAGGGACTGTCTTCACCCTCACTGGTTCGGCTGGGCATGTTCCTTTGGAAAGGTGTGGTGTCTAAGCCCTCTTCCAGGGGCTGGAGGAAGTCACTCACTTGTGTTCTTCTCCTGACCCTCATTCCCATCCCCGTGTATCATAGGGAACTTTCACCTTCTTTCTAAGCAAAGTGTGAATAGGATTTTTACGCCCTTTGTACAGTATTCTGAAAAATGAAATAAAGTGCAACATGTTCTGTTAACCACGTGTCTGGACTCTGCTTCCTGGTTGGCCCTGGGGAGGGGTGGCCGAGTGGGCAGCAGCTCCTGCCTAGGCAGTGGTGGGGATTCTGGGGCGGCCCAGGAGAGAAAGCCAAAGCGGGTGTGAGGGAGCTGGTGAAGGCCCTGGTAAGTCGGAGCAGAATCCCACTGTGCCTTGCCCTGCTGTTCCTCTGATTGGATTCGACTTCCCAGGCCTAGCTGGAGGAATTGGGGCTTGGTGGCCAGGAAGGTCAGTCCAGACATGGCTTACAAATGGAGTGGGGGAGGGGTTGCTACTGGTACTCTGGCATTGTCTGCCTGTCCTCACTTCTCACCTAAGTCATTCCCAATTAGTTCCTGGTGGGAGGGCTGCCTGCCTATCCTCCTGGCTTTTGTGCCGCCTCCTGCTAGGATGTGTAGGAGGGGAAGAGGGGTCCCCATGGCTTTTTGCTAGCATAGCTGGGGGAGGGAGGAATCCTTATCTCCTGAGGACGCTGGCTTCTCAGGCTGTTCTGTGCAGTATTATCTGTGGTCACCGGCCAGGTACAAAGTTTCAGGCAGGCAGAGGAGCTCCCTTCCCAGCAGCCTGGCTCTGTGGCCCTGGCCCAGCATCATGGTGTTCTTGGAGTGAGGGAACGCCTGATCTACTAGTAGCCATACTGTCCCTCTTCAAATAGGGACTACGATGTTGGGAGAAGTTGCCACTGGGCTCAGTCTTGGGAGTGGGGCCGATCTACTTGCTTCCGTGGCCTTGAAGCCAGTCAGGGTGAAGTACCAGGGTACCTGGACAGTGATCTTTGTTCAGATGCCAGCTCTGCTACTTTTGCCGTCTTACTTAGCTGCTTCTCTGAGTTGATGAGGAGAGTACCTCTCTGGGTGGTTGTGGGCCTGAGCACGGTGCCTGGGAATAGCCAGCAGTTGAGTAACTATATTACAATCAATACCATCGCCACTTCCTTCCGTGTGCTTCTGAACAGAGGGATGGGGAGCCCAGAAGATAGGCTGGGCTCACTCTAGCACTTACCTCTGAGGGAGGAGAAGGTGGATGAAGAAGATGGGGTGGCATCCAGATGAGAAAGGTCTAGGAAGGAGCACGTGGAAATGTGTCATACTGGGGAGGCTGAGTACGTATTGGACCAGCCTGACTCCTGTAGCTGTTTGCTGAGTTAGTTTGGGTTCTTATTGCTGCCTGCATACCATGGCATTTGCTAGCTGGCCCTGAGATCTTTTTTTTTTTTTTTTTTTTTTCCAAGACAGGGTTTCTCTGTGTAGTTTGGTGCCTGTCCTGGATCTCGCTCTGCAGACCAGGCTGGCCTCAAACTCACAGAGATCTGCCTGGCTCTGCCTCCTGGAGTGTTGGGATTAAAGGCGTGCACCACCACTGCCCGGTAAGGCCATTTTTATATCCCGGGTACAGCCATGGCTGTTATCTCTCTTAGTTGGAACTACTCATTCCATTTTAGCTCACTGGATTGTACAATCCATTGCGTCATTCTTTGGCCCAAACTCACCTAGCCCATGTATCTCTCACTTGCTGAGTCCAAAGGGCAAGATGTCTCCTGGCCATGTCATTCCTGTCCATAATTAGCCTGGCCATAATTAGCCTTATCTGAAGGGCAGGGAGGTGAGGCACCCACCCTTATCCAGCTTTCCTGGAAGTACTCCTATTGGGGGCTTTTAGGAACCTCTCCTAGCACCCCTCCAGCCAGGAGCTGTGCAGAGATCTGAGAGGATTCTGACTCTCCATTTCAGGTAAGAAGCTGAGGACAGTGCATTTGAGACAGGCTGTGGTTCTATCTACACACCTAGAATCCCCAGACCAGAAGAGAATTGAGAGCAGACTACTATGCTAAGACAGGATGGAGAAAAGGGCAGTGGGGGGGTTAGGTGCCTCGGCCAGGCATTAGGGACTTAGGAGTCACAAGAGGAAGGACACAGTGGTAATGGTGGTGGAAACCCAGGAAGCTTTTGCTTTTCTCAGGGCCTGGCTTAGCACCCTGAAATTTGGAAAGGGATGGTGGGGAGACCTAGGGATCCCAGCTAGAGCCAAGGGAAGAAATAGCTGTTTGAACTGGTATCCTGAAGTTGGGTGTTCAACACTGGTGAGAGTCAAGCCTTCTTAACCTTCATGCCTTTGGGAATAGACAGCAAATTTGCTCTGAGAAATGTAGAAAGTGGGTTTCACTTTCCCTGTGTGGGGTAATCCCTCACCCCATTTGCCTCAGTAGGTTCCGTGAAGGGCAGAGGGAGATTTGGCATTATGGTGGCCACCCTTACTGTATCACGATTGCCTCACTTCAGTATTCCAGTTCCTAATTGTCCTGGAACTTTGAGCTCCTGCTTGACCCCAGACTGTCAATCATGAGTCAGGGGCTGGAGAGATGGCTCACTGGCTGCTCTTCCAAAGGATCTGGGTTTGGTTCCCAACACCCACGTGGTGGCTCACAACCATCTGGAACTCTAGTTCTGGGAGATCAGACACCTTCTTCTGACTTCCATGGATGCCAGGCATACATGTGCACGCATGTACATGCTGGCAAAACACTCATACACATTTGTAGCATGAATCTTAAAAGTTCTTATTAATAAAATCAAACCTGAGGCCAGTATTGGGGTAAATGCTGGAAGGTCAGAGTACCAGAACAAGCCACAGCTATCTCACCTTGCCAATTTCTCAGCTGGTCCTGTTTCTTCAGACTGGAAGCCTCTGAGTCCTCATCCAGAATGAATCTCAGCTGAACTGTGTTGCTCCAAAGCCTGAAAATTTAACCAGCCAAAATGCTTCCAGTTTCTGGTCCTCACACCTTATAACCTTTCTGCTTTCTACCACCACTCCCTGGGATTAAAGGCTGCTTTCTGGGATTAAAGACGTGAGTCACCATGCCTGGCTGTTTCCAATGCGACCTTGAACTCACAGAGATCCAGAGGAATTTCTGTCTCTGGAATGCTAGGATTAAAGGCGTGTGCTAACATTTTCTAGCCTAAGTATCTTGTGGCTTTTCTGTTCTCTGACCCCAGATAAGTTTATTAAGGTACACAATATTTTGGGGAACACAATACCACCACACACATCAAATAGTAAATCTAAAGAAAAAAGCCAGATGTGGTGATCCACCTGTAATCCCAGCGCTTGGGAGGTGGAGACAGGAAACCTGGGAGTTCCAGGCCATCCTGCACTACATAGCAGGTTTTGAGGTCAGCCTAAGCTGGACAGGACTGTCTTAAAATAAAGCAAAATAACAAAACCCCCTCTCTGAACCAACACATCTGTCATAGTTGGTCCAGGCTTAACGTCTGTATTTGAAAGAGTCACGAGATCTCTGGTGCGAGAGTTGGGTTCTCGAGGGGATATGATTCCTGTCAAGAGTGTGGTTGATGCTGGTGCATTCAAGTGCTGCTATTTGGTGAGAGGACGGAAGAGGTTTGGGGATGGCGCTACTCCAAGACAGACCTCACCCTGGAGGACATACTGGACAAAGAGCTGTTTGAGAGGCTGCTTGTGGGACTCGGAGGTCAGCATGTGGCGGGTGAGGAATGGCTGGCCTGAGGCCTTGGCTGCTCCTCTTCTAGCCCGTGCTCAGCTCCTCATTGCCCTCAGCTTTTGATTTGTACATGCTGGCACACCGCCACCAAGAAACACACGCAAGAGGTGGTGGGCAAGAAGAGGAAAGTAGAGATTTTTGGTTTGCTTTGGTTTTTTTCAAGACAGGGTGTCTCTGTGTAGCCCTGGCTATCCCGGAACTCACTCTGTAGCCCAGGCTGGCCTCGAACTCAGAGGTCCACTTGCCTCTGCCTCCCGAGTGCTGGGATGAAAGACGTGTGCTGCCACCAGCACCCAGGGAGATTTCTTTATATTGGAAGTTTTTCCTACATAGTCTTCCTTTCCTGTGTCTCTCTGCAAGTCCAACCACAGAGCTCTGTGTTTATATTGGTATCGTTAAGCTGTCGGGGAAATGGAGGGAGATGGCGCGGTAGCCAAGGAAGGACGCAGACTTTACGGCTAAGGTTGCCCGGTTTTGAAGCCCACTCAGCCGCTGACCAGCAGGGCGACCTCTGGCCAAGCTGCTGTTTATCTGTGTAAGTTTCAGTGTCTTCACCTGTTAACTCTAAGAGTCAATGGCAGTGCCGGCCACAGGAGGTGCACGCAGGTGCACGCAGAGCCTCCCTCTGATGGCCCTGCTGCTGGAGACGTACTCTCTCCTCCCTGGGCATAGGCTGAAAGAGAACTTGGTGAGCTGAAAGTCCCAAAGCAGCAGTTCTCAACCTATGGGTCACAACCCTTTTGTGGGTCATAACGACCCTTTCACAGGGGCCGCATATCAGATATCTTGCATATCAGATATTTACATTATGATTCATAACTAGAAAAATTACAGTTGTGATGTAGCAATGGGATAATTTTATGGTTGAGGGTCACCATAACATGAGGAACTGTATTAAAGGGTCACAGCATCAGGAAGGTTGAGAACCACTGTTTTAGGGCTTCCTGGAGAAAGGTCTTTCAGGTTAGTATCAATGTGATATTTACTCTGGTCTTTCCAGGTGAAAAGGCTAAATGTCAAGTCCACGATAACACAGATTCAGAGAGAGCCCACAGCAAAATTCCCTGAAGAAATATTTGCAGTTTAAGTATTTGCGGTCCTGCAATTGGAAAGCCACCGTAACACATAGGAAAATAACCCAGTTGTTTGGATTTCCTTGACAACAAGTGAGGCTGGGAGCTGAAGAGATGGTTCAGTGGTTAAGAGCACATGCTACTCATGCAAAGGACTGGGATTGGTTCCCAGCGCTCACATGGGGGCTCACAAGCATCTGTAATTTCAGTTCCAAATCTGATGCTCTCTTCTGACTTCTGTCTCTTGCATGTATGTGATACACATACATACCCTTAGGCGCTTTCACGTAAATAACAATTTTTTAAGATGGGGCTGGAGTCAGGCAGTAGCGGGAAAGAACAAGGGAAGGGTACATTCTGGGCATGGAGGCACCACAGGGGCACCCTGGCTCCTCACCCTCAGGCCTACTGCACTGACCTTCCTTCTCTGGCCAGGCAGGCTCCTAGTTCCCTCATAGCCCTGCCTTCTTCTGGATGACCAATTGCTGTCAGATCCAAAAGAAACCCAGGGCAGGGCTGGAGAGATGGCTCAGGGTTAAGAGCACTGGCTATTCTTGCTAGATGTTCTGAGTTCAAGTCCCAGCAACCACATGGTGGCTCCCAACCATCTGTAATGAGATCTGGCGCCCTCTTCTGGCCTGCAGGCAGAACACTGTATACATAATAAATGAATCTTTAGGAAAAAAAAGAAACCCAGAACAAAAGACTAACTGTGGAGCCTATTAGCATACCAAAGTGGATGCTGCCTCCCCCCCACTCACTCAGTACCTGTGGCTCTTCTCAGCTCTTCACATCTGTCCCCTCCCCAACCTTCTCCAGCCTGTGGGCTTTGCTTCTCTTCACCCAGCCCCTCATTCCTCTATAACCCTGTCATTTTGGCCGTATGCTGTCTTGGTCAGCTTGCCCTCTCTTCTCTTCCCTTCCTCTCTCCCCCAACTCCCCCAGTCCCATGGCCCCGTTCAGTCTACTCTTTTCTCTGCCTGCTCTGGACACTTCCGGATGCCTCTGGCTGCGCGCTCACACACCTCTACAGTGCAAACCGCCAGCCATACCTTGGAGCGGTCACGTCCTCAGTTCATCACTGTGCTTTGGACACATCAGCTGCTGTCCCCAGGCCGCATCCTTGCTCTCCTGCGCTGAGTGGCCCAACCCAGCATTTTGTGCGTGTTTTGCTCTGCCTTGCAAAGCCACAGTTTCCGTGTCATCTGCCCACTGGGTTAGGAGCATCTCGGGACAATTTACCGGCTGTGCTCACCTCTCTGTTGACTCCACACAGTAGGTGGTCAGAAGTAAAGCACCATGAAGTTAAAATAACCAAGCTGGAAATGGCAGCACTCAGGCAAAGGCACCCTGCTGGTTTTGAGGGCTAGTTTGTTCTTTCTTTCTTTTTCTTTCTTTCTTTTTTTTTTTCAGACAGGGTTTCTCTATGTAGCTCTGGCTGTCCTGAAACTTGCTCTGTAGACCAGGATGAACAACTCACCAAAATTCACCTGCCTCAGCCTCCCAAGACCTGGGATTAAAGGGTCAGGCTAGTTCTTTCTTTTTTTTTTTTTTTTTGTTTTTTTTTTGTTTTTCGAGACAGGGTTTCTCTGTAGTTTTGCGCCTTTCCTGGAACTCACTTTGTAGACCAGGCTGGCCTCGAACTCACAGAGATCCTCCTGCCTCTGCCTCCCGAGTGCTGGGATTAAAGGCGTGCGCCACCACCGCCCGGCATAGTTCTTTCTTAATAGAGTGGGCGTGTTTACACTTTTTCCTTTTTGCTTGTTTTTGGAGACAAGGTTTCTCCGTGTAGTTTTGGTGCCTGTCCTGGATCTTGCTCTGTAGACCAGGCTAGCCTCGAACTTACAGAGATCCGCCTGTCTCTGCCTCCCAAGTGCTGGGATTAAAGGCGTGCGCCACCACCACCCAGCACTTTTTCCTTTTTTTGCAAGCCTAAAAGCTCAGTGAGGCTTTGTTGGGCCTTTCAACTACTCTTAACAGCAGAACTGCTCTGGAAGGGTCTCCAGGGATTTTCTAGAATTTCTTTTCTTTTCTTGAATGGATTGTTTCTAGGTTGATGGTAGGTTTCCTAAAGAGGGAGAGGGAGGTCATGGAAGGTATGGAGGGACATCTTCTTTTTTTCCCTTGAGACAGGGTTTCTCCACTGCCACCACCGTCACCACCTCCATCTGGTGGCACTTCTTTGATGGACTTTAGTCTGTAAGTAGCAGAAGCTTTATCAAGCTATTTTCTAGGTCACAAATGAATTTTCTTACGGAATCAGGGCTATCTCATGAGCTGGAGGACAGGCAAAGCAACCAGGTGAGTTCTGGGCACCAGTGCCACGAGCTAGAGTCAGCCCCTTCTCAGCAGTGGCGCCAGCCCTGCCCGACACCTTTAGTGTTATGAGAAAGACATGCTTTGGATTCATAGACCAGGATTTGAGCCACCGCTGTATATTTAATAGCTGTGTGGCCCTAGACTGTTCACAATTTTTCTAAATAAATTTATTTCATGTATATGTATGAGGGTTCTATCTGCATGTATGTGTGTGCATCATGTGTATGCCTGGTATCCAAGGAGGCCAGAACAGGGTTTCATATCCCCTAGGGCTGATGTTACAGACAGTTGTGAGCCACCTCATAGGTACTGGGAATTGAACCCAGGTCCCCTGGAAGAGCGGCCAGTGTTCTTAACCACTGAGTTATATCTTTAGATCAACAAACAAACAAAGAAACAGTTTTTTGTTTGTTTTGGAACAGGGTCTCAACTATTATAGCTCTGGTGGGCCTGGAACTCGAATGTAGAGTTCCAGGCTGGCCTTAATAATAATCCATCTTAATAAGAGTCCATCATACTGGGTGGTGGTGGCGCATGCCTTTAATCCCAGCACTTGGGAGGCAGAGCCAGGCGGATCTCTGTGAGTTCGAGGCCAGCCTGGGCTACAGAGTGAGTTCCAGGACAGGCGCCAAAACTACACAGAGAAACCTTGTCTCGAAAACACCAAAAATAAATAAATAAATAAACAAACAAATAATAAATAAATAGTCCATCACAAGGGGGAATTTGGTAGCAGGCAGCAGACATGGTGTCGGAGCAGAAGCTGAAGCTGAGAGTTCACATCCCTAACCACAAGCAGGAAGCAGAGTGACCTGGTGGTGGCGGGAGGCTTTGAAACCTCAAAACCTTCCCTTAGTGCTGCATTTCTAGTAAGGCCACACCTCCTAAACCTCCTGAACAGCACCACCAGCTGGGAACCAAGACTTTGGGGGACATCTCATTCACACCACCATGTATCCCCCGCCCCCCAAACCAATAAATGTAGTTAAAAAAAAAAAAGACCCAATTCTGCCTACATGATAGGGTTGGGGTAAGAAGCCTCCCACCATCTGTGATGGGCAGGAACACAGGGTAAATGCTAGTGAGTTCCTTTGCCACTGTGCCCCTGCCCCCAGCTCCTAGTGGGTAGAAAGAACTGTGATAGGTGCCATGTTTCTTGGTTTTGCAGCCTTACAGGCATTTACTTTCAAAAGGAAGCTGTTGGTGGCAGGGAGAGGTGTCACTGAGGGGCCCTGAACCTTATCCTTCCACTCGCTCTAGGAGGCTGAAGCAGAAACTTCCAACTTCATTCAAAATGATTAGTTCAGAAGAAAATGTGTATCTAGTGACAGGAACTCTGGAGACAGAACAGGAGGAAACTCCACAAGCAGAAATGCAATATCAAATTTGGAGCTCATTCCTTAAGGGCATTAACCACGAAAACAAGGTTAGTTTCCTGGGAGATGGGTGTGGACCAGCCAGCCTTGTGCCATCCACTGAAGGCCCAGAGGGTGCCAGCCAAGACTCAGCCGTCTTAGCTCCTCCCTCGGGCCTTTTGGAGCAGTACTGGCTGGTCTCTCTGCTTTTCAGTCCAAGGAAGAGAGTGGTGCCTTGTGGAGGAATCCCTTCCTTCCTTCCTTCCTTCCTTCCTTTCTTCCATGCATCCTTCCTCCCTTCCTTCCTCCCTTCCTTCCTTCCCTCCTTCCTTCCTTCCTTCCTTCCTTCCTTCCTTCCTTCCTTCCTTCCTTCCTTCCTTTTTTTTTTTTTAGTTTTTCGAGACAGAATTTCTCTGCTTTGGTGCCTGCCCTGGAACTCACTCTGTACACCAAGCTGGCCTTGAACTCACAGAGATCCACCTGCTTCTGCTTCCTGAGTGGTGAGATTAAAGGCATGCACCACCATAGCCTGGCCTCTTTCTTTCTTTTTTAAATTTTATCTTTTAGTCTTTTGAGACAAGGTTTCTCCACATAGCCCTGGCTATTCTGGAACTCACTATGTGGATCAAGCTGGCCTCGAACTCACAGAAATCTGCCTGCCTCTTTGAGTACTTCGTGCACCAGTACAGTCTATCATTTGACATTCTTAATTACATGGGTATTCTATTCTATTCCTTGTCTGTTCCCCTTTCTAGTAGGCAAGGGGAGCTAGAGTCCCTGGATAAAAGCATGTCTTCAGTATATACTTGTTAAATGAACAGTGGAAAGCAGCATGGGTTTGGTGTCAGACATGGGTTCAAATCTTAGCCCTGCCACTGGTTTCAGCTGTAGGACTGGCTCAGATACTTGCCATAGAGTCTTGGTCCTTCCATTTGTAAACTTAGAATAAAAATGTCCACCTCATAGGAGTGTTTGGGAGATCAGGCAAGATAGCAGTGTAATATCCATCAACATGAGCTCTCTCTCCCTAGAGCCAGAACAAAATCACCATCCCTGCCAACATGATCCTGGCCTATGGAAAGAAGCAGCTGATCTTTGAAAAGGGGAAAATATGTAAGCAAGATGCTATGGGCACAGAAAATGGGGCCCTGAATATGAGTGGGTGGATGTGGATTGAGCCAAGCTCTGTATCAGCCTGGGATGGGTGGCTGGTGAGCACAGAGGTGGGAGAGGAAGAAGGGAGGAGGGAGGCCCAAGAAGGCCTGAGGGCCGTATGGGCTCCGGCCAGACTGACCCAGCATGCACTCACCATGACATCAGCCTGCCCTACAGGATTGCATTCTCAGTCTCCTAACAGATTAGCAATAGTTTTTCTTTCCTTTCCTTGGTTGGGAGCAGAGTGGGGGACTGAGGGATGGAAGGAACCTACTATTTTTTTTCTTTTTTTAAATTTTTGAGACAGGATTTCTATGTGTAATAGCCCTAACTGTCTTGAAACTCTATTTGTAGACCAGGCTGGCCCTCAACTCACAGAGATCCATCTGCCTCTGCCTCCCAAGTGCTGGGATTAAAGGAGTGTGCCACCAGTGCCCAGCAAGAAATTACTATTTTCTTATTCTTTCTTTCTCCCTCTTCCCATCTCCCCTCGGGGCTGGTTTAGCTATAGCCTTCTGGACTGAAGGAAAAAAAAGGAGGTGAGTGAGCCCCTGGGCTACCCGTTCATGTTTCGGGACAGGCAAGGGCATGCTTGTCAAACAGAAGACAATGCGTGGCTGAGTGTGTAGTAGGATGTATTCAGAGCTGGAAGCCACAGAACGGGGAGATGTGCTTGTGGATGAGCAGCCTGGATGCACTGTTGGCTCAGGGCCCCCAGGCTCCTTCCAGGGCAACTGACTGGCTGGGAGCTCTCACTGAAGGCCTCAGCCAGTCTGCTCATATCAGCGCAGGCTGGGATGAAGCAACCTCACTGAAGTAGTCTCAAGTCGAGCTCTGCTGTACCACTCTTGCTCACAGCCTCCCAAGTCTGGAGTTTTCTGACCAGGCTGGAAGGTCTAGGGCTCACTTCCTCTGGAATGCTGGGGTTTTCCCTATATCCCAAGTAGGACAGTCACATTGCCAAAGAGGCCTTGGGAAGAGATGGAGGGCATGCTGTATCTTCTCTGGGTGTTGGCCTCTGCTTGAGTCATTCAGGCACAGCCCTATGGTTGCCTATCTCTGAGGATGTGGGAAGGAGCTTGCAAATATAATTTATACACAGCAAGGGTACAGGTTCCTGACATGGGCAGTGACAGCTCAGAGTCCCGGAACAAAAATGTCCATCGCTGGAAAGAGTGCCCACAGGGGTTAGATGTGACGTGAAGACTCTGAAGACCTTCCTCCCTTTGCAGAGAGAGGACTTAATAGCTATGTGTGAGGACTCGCCTATCTCTAGGCCCACATACAATGGGGCAGAATTCATCTACCCTCAGGTCCAGATGCTGTAACACTACCACTCGGTGGCATCAGCAGATTGGTGTCCGGTGGTGTCTTGGTTGGGGTTACCGTTGTTGGGATAAAACACCATGACCAAGCCGGGCGGTGGTGGCGCACGCCTTTAATCCCAGCACTCGGGAGGCAGAGCCAGGCGGATCTGTGTGAGTTCGAGGCCAGCCTGGTCTCCAAAGCGAGTTCCAGGAAAGGCGCAAAGCTACACAGAGAAACCCTGTCTCGAAAAACAAAAAAAAAAAAAACAAAAAAAAACAAAAAAAAACCACCATGACCAAAGCAACTTGGAGAGAAAATGATTTGGCTTCTACTTTCATATCATTGTTCATCATCCAAGGAAGTCAGGACAGGAACTCAACCAGGGCAGGAACCTGGAGGCGGAGCTTTCTCTTTTCTTCCTCCTTCCCTCACATTTTCTTTCTTTCTCCTCACCCCCTCTTGCTTCATGGCTCTCAGGCTGGCCTTGAACTCCCTATGTAGCTGAGGTTGACCTTGAACTCCCGATCCTCCTGTCTGCTCCTCCCTAGTGTTGGGATTACAGATGTGCGCCACGGGGCTGGGGACCACATTTTGAATGGTAAAAATGAAACTACCAAGCTTATTTCTGGATATGGCAAACTGGGACTAAATGGGGGTGAACCAGGGAAGCCAGGTAAATGAGTGATGGTGGGCATGCAGGGAAGGGGAGCTTCATTGTAACAGAACACATTAGTTTAGAAGACGGCAAAACACAGACAGGTAAAAACAACAGCAACAACGAGTAGATTAAAATAAGGTCTAGCCAGGCACGGTTGCACTCTACTGTAATCCCAGCTCTTGAGGCAAGATGATCAGAAAGAAGGGCCATCCTTGGCTACATAGTGAGTTCAAGCCTGGGTTACATGAGACCTTCCCAGCAGGTGAGAGGGATGCGGGTAGGGGTGGGGCAAGGTATAGTGGACTTTACAAATGAAGCCTGTTGGGCAGAGTGAGTCAGGTTCACAATTTCTGCCCTTTATAGGAATGGCTGTGAGGAGACTGCATGCTATTGGAAATTTTCAGGAGCAGGTACCGGACACAGCGAGAAGCCTCCAGGAACGGAATGAGAAGGAGCGGAAGAATATGCTATACTCTGTCACTTCATGTGCCATCAAGGAAGCGGGGCTGGAGGATCTGGAGCAGAGAGTAAAGGATCCCAAGGAAGAACTGGGGTGGACACAGAGGGCTGTGGAGGGCAGATGGCAGGGTGGGAACCATCTGCTAGAGAACCGTGCTTAGCTTCCCTATCCCCCACCCCCAGGTTTCTGATGTCTTGATCTCTGATGAGACACAGATTGAGGGTCCAGCGGGTCCTCTCATTTGCAGCCTCCACAAAAATGCTGGGCGCTTGGTAAAAGCATGTGCAGAAGCCATTCTGGAACTCTTGGGTGCCTTGCTAGGTGAAGAGGGTCTGGCTATATGCTGGAATGGAGGAAATGCTGACCAAGGAGGCTGGTGGGAAATCAAATCTTAGGGAGTATGCATTGCCCAAATTTGTACACTGTGAAGGGTAGCCCTCGGCATTTCAGAGACTATCAGCCTTTCCCAGGCTGGATATTGAGGGGCAATCACTGTATTCCCTCTGGTATAGTCTATGATGCTCCATATTCTAAGAGGGGAGCAGGAAACATTTGGGATGACTTCCACCCGGCATCCCAGGAGCTCTCTGAAACCCTCTGATGCATATGGTCAGCCACCGGAGCCCTCCCCCAGAGCCCTCCCCCGGAGTCCTCCCCCAGAGTCCTCCCCCGGAGCCACCATGCCCCTCTCCTTTTCTACAAACAATCTTCTTTTCCTGCTTCCAGAGCTGTCTGAGAAATGCAAGCATGTGACCGAAGCACTAGAGAATGGGACCTTGTCTTCAGTGAGGGACCAGGTGAGACACACTGGATGGAGAGGGCCATAGTAGAAACCAATGCCTGTGTTCTGAATGGACCCGGAGACCCCACAGTACAGTCCTTTTTTACTCTATAGTTACTGCCTGCTCATGTCTATGCAGCAGGGTTTTGACAATTCTCTGGACATACATAGAGCTACCAGGACAATTTGAGAGGTTCTGTTGCTTGCCTATGGGCAAAAGAGGGATAGAAAATACTCGTCCCAAGATGGCATCCGGGACTTGCTGCTATGTGGAGAAGGTATGAGGTTCCTCACCTCTGCAGGAAGAATGTCATGATGGATCCCTATGTCTGTCACAGGCTCAGAGTGAAGGGCTGTGGCCAACTGTCATTGTGGTCATTTTTGTTTTGTTTTGAGACAGGGTTTGTGTGTGTGTGTGTGTGTGTGTGTGTGTGTGTGTGTGTGTGTGTGTGTGAGCTCCTAGCTCTTAATCTGGTGAGCTTCCTTTCAGGTGGAGTCGATCCTCCAGAAGAACTGGGTTGAGCAGATTAGCCAGGATGTGAGCTGTGACCCAGAGGCACGGCTTCCTCTCTTCTGCTGCAGCTGAGTCCTAGTAATAAGTCCATTTGTGTCTGTTCCTAACCCAAAGTCGGCCTGGATTCTACGCATGCTCTCTGATTCAAAGTGACAGATTGGGAATAGTCATTTCCTCTCATTTTATCTTTTCTTCCTTTTTGCGTGGCTGGTTTCAAACCTAAGGTCTTCACTACCACTAGACAAGTGCTGTGCCATCGAGTCACACCCCAGTCCTCTTCTTTCTCACTAGATGACATGAAGAGAGACAGCTAGGAGTGATGGCACACCCCTGCAACCCAGCACTCAGGAGGTGGAGGCGAGGGTCAGGAGTCCAAGGTCACTGTACTCGTCAGGTTCTCTAGCGGACCAGAACTGATGGAATCAATATACATATATCATTCATTTTACACATAGGAAGGGGATTTATTAGAGTGGCTTACAGGCTGTGGTCCGGCTAGTCCACAATGGCTGTCTATCAACAGACAGTCCAAGAATCCAGTAGTCATTCAGTTCTTGAGGCTGGATGTCTTGTCTGGGCTTCAGTATATGCCGGAATCCCAAAGTAGGCTGTCATGCCAGTGAAGGGATGGACTTGCCAGCAAGAGCAAGCAGGCGGAGAAAGCAAGCTCCCTTCTTCCATGTCCTTCATATAGGCCGCCAGCAGAAGGTGTGGCCCAGATTAAAGGCAGATTTTCCTGCCTCAAAAGATCTGGGTTAGAAGTGGGTCTTCCCACTTCAAATGCTTTAATTAAGGAGAAAAAAAATCCCTCACAGATGTGTCCAGTCATTTGGGTTTTAGTTAATTCCAGATTAACTAAATTGACAACCAAGAACATCCATTATAGTCATTGTCTACCACTTCGAGATTTTTGAAGCCAGCCTGGGCTACATGAGACCACATCACACAAAAACAAAACAAAACAAACAAACAAACAAAAACAAAGGAAATTCACAAAGCAGTGGGAAAAAAGAGAAACTGGCAACAGGAAAGTTTTTAACACTTCTTTGGAATCCAGAACGCAGTGCAAGCTGGGTAGTGTGGCCAGAGGGTGGCCAGGAGTGGGCAGGAGAACGCTGTCTGCATCACAAGTGTTACAGAAGAACGGCAGAAGTCAAACACCAAAAACCTAGGCTCACCCGACCGCTCAGGCTAATGAAATGAACACAGGTCTTTTTTTTTTTTTTTTTTTTTTTTTTTGGTTTTTCAAGACAGAGTTTTGGCCTCGAACTTACAGGGATCCACCTGCCTCTGCCTCCTGAGTGCTGAGATTAAAGGTATGAGTCACCGGGGCTGGAGAGATGGCTCAGAGGTTAAGAGCACTGACTGCTCTTCCAGAGGTCCTGAGTTCAGTTCCCGGCACCCACATGGTGACTCACAACCATCTGTAACGAGATCTGGTGCCCTCTTCTGTCCTGCAGGCATATATGTAGGCAGAACACCGTACACATAATAAATAAACAAATCTTAAAAAAAGAAAAGTGTTCAACAGCCTTAACTATGAGGGAAATGCATATTAAAACTGCTTCACCAGCCCCTCTTGCCCTAGTTAGAATGGGTAGCATCAAGACAACAAACGACAAGAAATGCTGGTGGCAGTGTGAAGCACAGAAGCTGCATTCCCCGATGGAGGGATGTAACTTTTGTAGCCCTGGGGCGGGCACTAAGGAGGTTTGTCAAACACCTAAAATGCCCAGAAACATACGACCCAGCTACATCATCCCTGAGCACAAGGCTGAAGGGTTCTGTGTCAACGTGGGACATGGGCGTCAATGTGGGACACGGGCACGCGCACACCAGTGTCAACGTGGGACATGGGCACGTGCACACCGGTGTCACTTGCACATGGTGTCAACTGCGCCACTCTTCCCAGGACCTAAGATATGCACCGAGCCTAGATGGCCATCAGTGTGGGAATGGATAAAGAAAACGTGGTACATACACACTACGGGGTTTTGTGCAGCTGTGAAGAAAAGTAAGATACAAAAAAAATAGAAATAAAAATAGCCTGGGTATCACACACCTTCATTCCAGCACTGGGAGACAGAACAGGAGGAGCTCTCCAAGTTCAAGGCCAGCCTGGTCTACAGAGCAGTTCCAGGGCAGCCAGGACTACATAGAGAGACTCTGCTCAAAACAAACTAAACTAAACTAAACACACACACACACACACACACACACACACACACACACACACACACGTGTGCACACATACTCATACTCTCACACATACGTACACACACACCCTTACACTCTGGCACACACACAAACACGTGCACACACATACACACACACACACACACACACACACACACACACACACACGCACGCACGCATGCACACAGAACCTGGCACTGGAGGATGCACTAACTCCGTCTCCCTTCAAGGTGACCATTGGACTCCTACTTTGCCTTGGGTGAACCTAGGGTTCTGGTTTGAGGAGTCTCCTCAATAGGGAAGGCACATATTTTTTAAGTAAATCACAAGTCAAGGGAAAATCCTAATATAAATTAGAAGATTTTTGTACTTAATGGTACTAAAATATACATATAAAATCTGTGGGAATAAGCTAAGACCATTTTTTAAAACAGAAAAATATGAATTGCCCTAGTTATTTATATTAGAAGAAAAAAAAGTCAGGGCTAGAGCCTGGAGAGGTGGGTCAGTATTTAAAGCACTGTCACACAAGCGAGCAACAGGTCGGGATCCCCAGAGTCCGAGCAAATGCCATTTCAGGCACGGTGACCACCTGGATTGCAGCCTCGGAAGGGGAACCTGGAGTAAGCTGGTTATGGAGATCAGCCACATCCATTAGCTCTAGGTTTGATTGGGAGACCCTGCCTCAAAAATGGTGGTGGAAGAATTGATTGAAGATTCTGAGTAATAGCACAATCTAATGTGTGGCCGAAGGAAGATGCAGGTCAGCCTCCCTCATTACTTTAGAGGAAACAGCAGAAAAAAAAAAACCCCAAAAAACCAAAACCCAAGCAATAAAAGAATATATCTTTACTAATCTGGGGTTTCAGTCTGGTTTAACATGGCAGATTTTAGCCCATTCCCAATTTAAACTGGGCATGGTGGCTCATTCCTGTAATCCCAGCACTCAGGATGTAGGTTGGAGGATTTCAGCAAATTCCAGGCCAGCCCGGGCTACACAGAGAGACTCTCTCAAAACAACAAAATAAACAAGGAGAGAAATTTCAGAAGGGAAATGATATAATCATTTCAACAGAAATGAAAAAGTACTCTGTAAAATTCAGTATGTCCTCGTTTCCTAGAAAACCAGGCACACACACTCAGGCACTGCTCTATCTGATCGGAGGACATGAAAACACCCAGTAAGCACAGGCTCAGCAGAGGAAGTGTTTCTATGCCTTCTCTCTGGGCCTCGAAAGATGGGCGGCCCACAGTCTCCACTTCACACTGTAGAGGAGATTAAGCAAGAACAGGAGGCCAAGTAGAGAGCCATAAGAAAGGAGGAGGCAGAGGAGAACACCATATTACTTCAAGATGATCAAATATATGCATCAAAACTGCAGCTTTACAGATAAATTATGAAAATAAATAACAGTATTTTGATATAATCAATATTTACTAAATTTTGAAAATAAAATAACAGTATTTTGATACAATCAATATTTACTAGATAGATCGCCAATAAATCCAAAAGAAAATTTGTACAAAATGAAATACTTAGGAAAGTATCAGACAAAGGGTATAAAAGCTCCACTCCCTTGTTAATATGAGAGATCTTAGAAAAGATGAAATGAAAGATAAATACTGAATTAGAAGACATAATATTGTAAGAATGTTGATTTTTCTTACAGTAATTTACAGATTACTACAATCCCAATGGTTGTCTGTCTGATTTGAAAATGCAAAGGATTAAAACCAGCCATGATATTTAAAAAGAATACTGATTTATTTATTTTTGTATATATGTGTGTGCCTGCATGAGTTCAGGTGCACCATGTGTGTGCAGTACCTATGGAGGCCAGAAGAGGGTGTTGCATTCCCTGGTACTGGTGTTACAGGCGACTGTGGGCTGCCTGACATGGGTTCTTTGAACTGAACCCAGGTCTTCTGTGAACTGAACCCAAGACTTCGGCAAGAGCAGTAAGTGCTCTTAACAGCTGAGTCATCTCTCCAACCCCAGCCATGATAGTCTTCAAAAAGAACAAAGTAGAAAAACTTGTTCCACTAGATTAAAGACTGATTATAAAACTTTAATATTTTAGTGTGACATGGGAGCTGCTGTAGACAAAACAAAAACAGATGAGATACCTCAGAAATGGGTCCCATGTGGACAGGGACATCTGACATATGAGAGAATAAAGACTGAAGATCAGTGGGAAAGGCTAGTGCCAGGACAATAGGACAGCCACAAGGTGATTACTGAGTGTTCATCCCTTCACACAGTATTAACTCCAGAAGCACTTTCAATCAATGTGTGAATGGCAAAAATGTAATTATAGTAACATCAAAACTTCAGTTTCATCAAAATATATCACAAACGGGGTAGAGGCAGCACAGAATGAGAGATGCTATATAAAACAACGCACCATGCCAGGCGGTGGGAGCCAGAGGCAGGCAGATCTCTGTGAGTTCAAGGCCAGCCTGGGCTACAGAGTGAGTTCCAGGACAGGCTCCAAAGCTACAGGGAAACCCTGTCTGGGAAAAAACCAAAACCAAACCAAAACCAAACCAAAACCAAACCAAAACTAAACCAAAACGCACCTTTTGGAGACTGCCATCTAGGACATGGAGGCACTTGTACAGGTAATAAAACAAAACAAAACAAAACAAAAAAAAGACCCACTAGGAAAATATGTGAGGGATTTCAACAGCACCATTTTTATAGTTTATATGTAAAATGTCCCATATGTTCATGTGTTTGGAAACCTCATCTCCAGTTGGAAGAACTGTTTTTGAGGTTGTAAAAGTACTGGGATGGAGGGCCTAGGTCCTGACACAGGCCACATGGGGTAGGGCCTGGAGGGTGATAGTTTAGCTATCCTGAGCCCACAAAATGTGCATATGCCACTTAGCAAATTAAGACTTCAGGGAGGGGGGCTGGAGAGATGGCTCGGAGGTGAAGAACACTGCTACTCTTTCAGAGGCCCCGGGTTCAATTCCCAGCACCCACATGGCAGCTCACAACTGTCTATAACTCCAATTCTGGGGGATCCAACATCCTCACACACAGACATATGTGTAAGCAAAAAACCAATGCACATAAAATAAAGATAAATAAGTAAATAAAAATAAAGAACTTCAGGGAATCTGAAGTCAGTTTATTGCCAGTATATTTAAACACAGTATAATCTGAAAAAGAAGTGTCTTGGTGTAATACAATCCCAGGTGCACAGGAAAGCATAATTACATCAAAACTCAACTCAGGGCATATGTGATTTCTTTCAAGAATATGGAGATAGGCTACCTGTACTAGCTTAAGGGCCTAGGGAAGGAGCTGGCCTGGTCTTGGTCATACAGATAGCTCAGAGGTCAGCTGAGCTATTAGCCACCTCTGACCCTGTTATGGGGGCTTGGGGAGACCCTGGCTGTAAGGGTCCTTTAGATTACTAGCCACCTCTAGTCTTGGTTTGGGAACTTGATATGGCCTGACCTAACAGATAACGAAGACCACGAGGCTGTTAATCACTTGCACTGCCCTGGTACTGGAGTTATGGATGGTTGTGAGCTACCATGTGGGTGCTGAGAATTGAACCCAGGTGCAGGGCAGCTGAGCCATCTCTCCAGCCTGAAATTATGTTCCTCAAAGTTTGTATTCTTCGAAGTTTGTATGATCAGTAGTTTTCTTTTACTTCAGTGGTATTTGCATATGGCCAGAAAATTTCACTCAAGTGTATTATTTGAACTATGTAAATGCATTAATATTTTTAGTGTTTTCAAGCAAAAGCATCCACAAGACAGAAAGCTTAAGCCTTTTAACACTGCAGACAGTCAGACGGATATTAGACCAAACAAATAAGATCCAAATGGTCCTTTATCATTAATAATCTACTAATGCTGGAAAATACCTTTTTGGCAGTACAAAGTACAAAACATTATGTAACAGTGACGTTTGGTAGGTAACAGGTATGTGACATTTGACTTCTAAGCCCTACAAAAGGCCACTTACAGACTCAAGATGAAAGACGGCTGGGACTTTTCCAATACTACACTGTGAGGATAATGTTACAGTATCTGTTTTTATTGAGTAATGTGAAGATGTAACTTTGTTGCCATTTCAGGACCTTTTAATGCTAATGAAAGAGAAGATGACCGTTACTGAACTTAATTACTGTTTTACCATTCAACATACCCTTCATATTTTGCTGTATTCTATTTAAGTGGGTTATTGTGGATTAGGGTGTTGTGGGTGGGGAATGTCACTCAGTAAACCACCAGGAAACAATTCAAAGCTCAAAATAAACAGTGAGTAGGGGGAACCAAAAGTTTACTTCTGGATGTAGACTCAGTTGCTTTAATTCATTATAACTATCAAAGTAGGGGGATTCAGGCCTGGCATGGAGGCACACACCTGTAATCCCAGGATTTAGGAGATAGAGGAAAAGAGGCTTAGCAAATCAAAGTAATCCTAGTTACAAGTCTGAGGCTAGCTTAGGCTACATGAGACCATGTCTCAAAAGATCAAATAACATCAAGAAAAACAAAGGAAAGATGGCTAAGGAGATGTCTAAGTAGGTAAAGTGTTTGCTAATCAAGTAAGAGGATCCTAGTCTGGTACCCAGAACCCACATAAGAAAGCTCGATGATGGTGGTTGGGGACACGGCTCAGTGGTTAGGAGCATTTGTTGGTTCCCAGAACCCATGCTGAACGACTCACAACTGCCTGTAAATCCACTTCCATATTAGACAAAGAACGCCCTCTTCTGACCTCTAGAGCATCCATACTGACATGTGCATGCACACACAGATAAAACAAAACAAACATCTATAAATACATAGCTGGGTGTGGTGGCATGCGCTTGTAATCCCAGTGCCAGAGAAATGGAGACAGGAGGATCCCTGGGTCTCGCTAGCCGGCCACTCTGGTTGAATTGGCAAGCTCTAGATCCCAGTGAGAAGATGTGCCTAATAGTGCCACTCGCTTTGGGGGCCATTTTCTTTCAAACCACCACACCTACTATATATGAGACATTGGGTTCTATCCCTAGCATTGCCAAACAAACAAATGCTATCCAAAAACAAACCAGACCAAACAAACAAACAAAACAATGAAGCAAAACAATTCCCCAATTTTCCCAAACCCACAATACTACTGTCTTTTGAGAAAGGCAAAGTATTTAGAGAAAAACTTATATACAATGACTAGGAACAGTTTGATCAACTACACAAATCTGATCCAACATTTGGAAATTCTGTTAGGAGAAGGTTTGAGACAGTCTCCCTCTGTAGCACAGGTTGATCTGGAATGCATGTGTAGCCTAGGCTGGTCTTGAACTTGTGGTAATCTTTCTGAATGAATCTAATTAATCACATTAACAGGCTAAAGGAAAATCATATGGCCGTATCAATAAGTGCAGAATTACTAGTAGAATACTGAAGAACACTAGTCCAATTCGGCTGTGATTGGTACCCACGAGTCAAGACAGCACAGTACTGACTAAGGACAGACAAGCGGACAGTGGAGCGGAGATTCATTAAAATGAAAACTTCTGCTCCGTGAGCCAAAGTGTGAAAGGAATGAAGCATCAGACTCCAGAAAGAGCAAAATCTCTGTAAAAGCATCTAAAACTCTGCACCCAGAATACACAGAGAAATCCTAGACCACAACAGGAAGACAGACAATCCAATTAAAAAATGGCAAAAAATCTGGACACCAAATAATAACCAACAAACAGAAACAGAGATCAAGTGACCATACAAAAAGACGCTAGGTATCAGACGGCTTAAGAGATTTAAGAATTTGGGAATTAAAACAAAAAGGAAATACCCACTCCCTGTGTTAGAGTAATCATTCCCCACCCCAAAACTGACAGTACCAAATGCTGGTGAGGAGGAGGAACAAGACCATGAAATGGTGACTTTGGCTGCCAGTATTCTTGTCTCTTACAAAACAAGGCATGTCGTACCATCTTAGCCAATCACCACTTTTCTAAGTATTAACTGAGCTGAAACGATATCCACACAAAAATTTGCACACAGATGTTCATGGCAGCTGTATTTATACCATGGAAGAAATTACTCAGCAATAATAATAAGCTATCAGGTCATAAAAAAACATAAAGGAACCTAAAATGCTTAGTGATGAGTGCAAAGAAGCCAATCTGAAGAGTCAATGCATTGTATAATCCCAACTACATGGCATTTAGGAAAAGGTAAAACTATAAAGACAATAAAAAGATAGCCAGGTAGTGTTGTGGTGGTGCACGCCTTTAATCCCAGCACTTGGGAGGCAGAGGCAGGCGGATCTCTGTGAGTTCGAGGCCAGCCTGGACTACGGAGTGAGATCCAGGACAGAGAAACCCTGTCTTGAAAAACAAAACAAAACAAAACAACAAAAGAAGATGCTGATGAGGAGAGTCAAGGACTCAGGATGGATGGAGGGAGCAGAGAGAGGAGCGAGTGAAGCATAGTTTATTTTTAGTGTGGTGAAACTATTTTATATGAAACTAAATGTTGAATACATCACTACACCTTTGCCCAAACCTGTAACATGAAGAATAAAACTTTAATGTGAACCATGGATTACAGCGAATAGTAACAGGGGGGATGTGTGGGGGAGGACAAGTGTACATGGAGGGATATGTGGAGCTACATATCACTTGTTTCATTTTCTGTAAATCTAAGCCTGTATTAAACATGATTCTATGAATTATTAAAAAATAAAATCAAAGAAACTAAAGTAGCTTGTTTAGTTCTAACTTCAAAAGTACTATGGGTGCTGGAGAGATGGCTCAGTGGTTAAGAGCACTGGCTTTTCTTCCTGAAGACTTGGGTTGGATTCCCAGCACCCACATGAGGCTTTACAACCTTCTGTACCTCCAGTTCTGGGGGATCCAATGCCTTCTTTTGGTCTCGGAAGGTACCAAGCACATATCTGGTGCACGGATATACATGCTGGCAAAACAAACATACACATACAATAAAGTAAGTCTAAACACTTTTGTTTTCTTTTCAAAACAGGGTTTCTCTGTGTAGCCCTGGCCATCCTGGAACTTGCTCTGTAGACCAGGCTGGCCTCAAACTCAGATTCACCTGCCTCCACCTTCTGAGTGCTGGGATTAAAGGCGTGAGCCACCATTGCCTGGCATTAAAAACAAATTAAAAGGGATATTCTGTATGTCTTGATAGAAGTCATTTTAACAAATTAATATATGGAAAATAGAAATTTTTATTGTATCATACTTTGCCACTCATTTTGACCTTACTATAGTACCAAGTACAAAGCATGTCTTAGTTTGTAGACAACAGAACATATTTCATTTAAAGCACCCACTAACACTTCACTTCCGTTCATACACTGGGGACACTGAATTAAACTCCTTCTCAGAAATGCCATGTCGATGCTTTTCTGTTGTTTCTAAAACGCACATTCCCAAAGTTTTGCCCTTACAGATCTTATTTATGGATGTATCTATGATGCTCTCAGATGTGAACAAATCTTTGTCCCACCTTCAGAGGCAAGTAACCATGCTTTCATCTCTGGTCTTGAAGTTTATGGGCAAGATTTAGCTCCGTATGAATGGACAGAAACACAGATCTGACAGGTGACATCGACATCAGGACTGAATGTTCCAGGACTACAGACCACTGCAAGGGAAAAACACAAGCCGTCTGTCAGTCAACATAGTTCACAGATACCGCAGATCAACCATACAAAAGCATCTTCAATATTACACCTTTCCTACATAGGACACCCACACTAGTTCAGCCAATAAAGTTGTGAAGATTACCTCAAACTTTGTAATGTGATAACCTTAAAAACGGGAGTGTTGTGGACTATGGCTTTAACTGTACAAAGATGTGTTATATCTGTTTATGCTGCAGAATGTTACTTTAACTATGTAAAGGTGTGTTGCACTTGTTTATGCTGCATTTGTTTAACAATGTAGAGATGTGTTGCTCTGCCTGCCTGAGGCACCCGATTGGTCTAATAAAAAGCTGAATGGTCAATTTAGTTAGGCAGGAGAGGGATAGGCGGGGCTGGCAGGAAGAGAGAATAAGTAGGAGGAGGAATCTAGGCTCAGGAGAGAATGAGAGAAGAGAATGACGGAGAAAAAAAGAGTCGCCTGGGACCAGCCAGCCAGGCAGACGCCAGCCGGGCAGACATGGAGTAGTAGGTACGGAATGAAACAAAGGTAAAAAGCCCCAAGGCAAAACAAGATGAAGAAAAACAGGTTAAAATAAGTTTTAAGAGGTAGTGGGACAAGCCTAAACTAAGGCTGAGCATTCATAACTAATAATAAATCTTTGTGTCATTATCTAAGAGCTGGCAGTCTAAGAAAGCCCGCTACAGGGAAGAGTTAGAATACTGTATTTCCTCTTTTATCAGTATTCGCAAGACCTTCTCAGCGCCTCATTTATAAGAGCCTGCCTTCAGTTTCTACTTTGTGTCCTAGCTCTGTGCTTTCCAGGCAGGACCATTCTGCTGTTCTGCACAGAATAGTATTGTATGTCAGAACATGTAAATGTGTTGTAATGTAAGAGAGAACGGTACAAAGAACATATATTAGGATAATTATATTTAGAATTTGGGCTTTAAAGTTTTTGACTTCTCTTTTCTATGAAAGAATCAATGAAAAGATCCAGTATGCCAGGTGGTGGTGGCACACGCCTTTAATCCCAGCACTCGAGAGGCAGAGCCAGGAGGATCTCTGTGAGTTTGAGGCCAGCCTGGGCTACAGAGTGAGATCCAGGACAGGCACCAAAACTACACAGAGAAACTCTGTCTCAAAAACAAAACAAAACAAAAAAAATTCCAGTTCAATAATCCTAGGTGAGTTATTCATCTTTTCTCTGGAATATACAGACATTTAGGTATTTATATTTTATAATTACCGCAACAGCTAGCACAATTGCTGTGTAGACCTTCATTTTTCCCAAAGCCTGGTCGACAGTTATCTATTCGTACTACTTGAAAACTGTGGTCCACAAAATGCATAGCTGGTATAGTTTTATTAAAGTGATGGTACAAAATGTATGCTTGGCTCCGAAAAAATTCTTCTATCCGATCTCTTGCCTAAGATTTAGAAATACCAGAGAAAATTACAATTACTAATGCAATAACCAAACTCCTTTTCATGAATCACAGGCCATAAAATGTAGCAGAACTATTTCTTGCTCATGCATTAGATGAAGTCCTAAAAAATCTATGTTAAAACCTAAAATTAGTCTAGCTTTGACTTTACTAGTTATTGCTAATTTATACATGAGGAGGTTAAGGAAAACAGTTGGGGATAGCTCAGCTGGCCAAGCACTTTCCTTGCCTGTCATCCCAGTGCTGGGGGGTCAGGAGAGACAGGAAGATTCCTGGGGCTTGCTGGACAGAGAGTCTAGCCTAATCAGGAAGAGACCCTGTCTCAAAGGAGGAGATAGTGCTCCTGAGATTGACACCTGAAGTGGTAACTCTAGCCTCCACACACACTCATGGACCTGCGCTCATGCGCATACACACACACACACACACACACACACACACACACACACACACACACACACAAATTTGTTGTAATATCTTTTTCATACATAGATTAAACATGCTCTCTAATTATCTATGATCATAAAAAAAAAAATAGCCGGGCGGTGGTGGCGCACGCCTTTAATCCCAGCACTCGGGAGGCAGAGCCAGGTGGATCTCTGTGAGTTCAAGGCCAGCCTGGGCTAACAAGTGAGTCCCAGGAAAGGCGCAAAGCTACACAGAGAAACCCTGTCTTGAAAAACCAAAAAAATAAAAAATAAAATAACATAAAATAAAATAAAAACAAAAAGAAAAAGCCAAGGTGTTGGTTCAGCAGTTAAGAGCAATCTCTTCCACGGGATCTAAGTTCAGTTCCCAGCACCCACATGGCAGCTCACAACTGCCTGTAACTCCAGTTCCAGATGATCCTATGCCCCTTCCTGGCCTCCTCAGGCACTAGGCATGCATATGGCACACAGACATACATGCAGTTAAAAACTCAAACACATAAAATACATAAATAAAATTTTAAAAAGAGCAAAGTAAAATAGAAATCAAGGCTTTAATCAGCATTACAAACTAATGTGAATCTGGCTTTGGGACAAACTACAATAATAACTAAGCCTAAATGAGTACTTCTTATACATCATCACATTACAGGCATGGACTCGGGAACAAGACAGGAGAGTGAAGATACTTTTTTTGTTGCTGTTGTTTTTCAAGACAATGTTTCTCTGTGTAGCCCTGGCTGTCCAGGAACTCAACTCTGCAGACCTCACTGGACTCAAACTCAGAGATCCACCTGCCTCTGCCTCCTGAATGCTGGGATTAAAGGCATACACCACCAGGCCTGGCTCGAAGACATTTTTCGGTCTGTTCCCTCAGCCTCTGGAGCCAGCAGTGGGGAGAACAACTACCACATTTCCTATAATGTGATTTTGGAAGTGCCATAAATTAAACCTACGATAATTCGATTGTGAGGCTTAACCATTTAGAAAATGAAGACCAGGGATCCACCTTTCTGCTATGAATAAAATACATAATATGAGCCTGGGAGCTATCTAATATTCCAGAGGTACTGTCTTAGCTAGAGTTTTTACTGCTGTGAAGAGACACCGTGACCACAGCAACTCTTATAAAGGAGAACATTTAATTGGGATGGCTCACTTACAGTTTTAGAGATTTAGTCCATTATTATTATGGTGGGACATGGCAGTGTGCAGGTAGACATAGTGCTGGAGAAGCAGCTGAGAGTCCTCCATCTTGCAGGCAACAGGAAGTAGACTGTGACACTGGGAGTATCTTGAGCATAGGAGACCTCAAAGCCCGCCCCACAGTGACGCACTTCCTCCAACAAGGCCACACCCACTCCAACAAGGCCACACTTCCTAATAGTGCCACTCCCTTTTGGGACCATTTTCTTTCTTTATTTCTCTCGATTTTTTGTTTGTTTTTTGAGACAGGGTTTCTCTGTGTAGTTTTGGTGCCTGTCCTAAATCTCACTCTGTAGACCAGGCTGGCTTCAAACTCACAGAGATACACCTGGCTCTGCCTCCTGAGTGCTGGGATTACAGGTATGCACCACCACTGGGGACCATTTTCTTTCAAACCACCACAGGTACTATCACAAAAAAAAAGAAAAGAAAAGAAAAACCCCACAACCTACTGACATAGCAACAATCTCTGTTCAAAAGACCAAAGCAGCTTGCACAGCCTTGGTGATGTGGGAAGGGGCTTGGACCTGCCTAGACTCAGTGTGCTGGGCTCTGCTGACTCCCCATGGGAGACCTCGATTTGGGGGATGTGGGGATGCGGGGTGGCTTGGGAAAGAGGGCTGGGCGGTGGGAGGAGGGAGGTGAGGGGGGTCTGTGGATAGCATGTGGAGTGAGTAGAAAATTTCTTAATAAAGAAAAATGAAAAAAAAAAAAAAACAAGACCGAAGCAGGCTGGTGAGAGGGCTCAATGGGTAAATGTGCTTGCCATCCAGCCTGATGACTGAGTTCATCCTGAGACTCATATAATGGAAGGAGAGAACTGACTCCAGCAGTTTGTCATGGAATTTTCTCTCTGTGTTGTAACTATTTCTTCATAATAAAAACATTTGAGGGTCTGTAGAGATGGCTCAGTGGTGAAGGCACCTGCCAAGAAACCCGATGACCTGCTCTGATTCCTGGAACCCACACGGAGGAAGAAAGAGCCAATCCTGCAGTTATCTTCTGACCCTCACATATGTGCTACAGCATGTGTGTAACACACAAACAGCAGTGTTTTCGAGACAGGGTTTCTTTTGTGTAGCCCTAGCTGTCCTGGAAGCTGTCCTCTGTGGACAAGGCTCATCTTGAACTCATAAACATCTGCCTGCCTCTGTCCCCCAAGGGCTGGGATTAAAGTGTGCACCACCACTGCCTGGCCACAAACATAATTTAAAAAATTTAAAAGGAATAAACTTAAATTATTCTCTAAAAAAATAGAGCAGTATTGCTGTTTCATATGTATTGATATATACATATATGCACACACACTATATATATATATTGTGTGTGTGTGTGTGTGGGTGAGTATGCTCGTGTGTAAGTATACATATGTGGGTGCGTGCATACCATGGTTTGCATGTGGAGGTCAGAGGACAACCTGAGATGGATTCTTGAAGAATTTTTTTCTTTTGAGATAGGTTTCATGTAGCCCAGGCTGGCCTTGAACTCACCGTGTGGCTGAAGATGACCTTGAACTCCTATTAATAAGACAAAGTATTGACCAAAAGCTTTCCACGTCACTCAAGTGCTTCCCCTCACGATGAGCACTCACCTTGAGGATGTTACGGTTAGTGGCATCTTCACAGTCGGAAGAATCGTTGCACACACTTTTCCAGCCTGGTGCAAAAGGATTCACTGGAGGGGAAAACACGACAGGTACACACCGGCTTGTGAAAGTGTTGAGCACTCTAGTAACGCCCCAAATGCTCTGGCTGGTGTGCAGGCACATGGACATTTAACCCAGCTATCTAATCAAATAGCCAAGTGAGGTGTGCAGTTTGAATAACCCGTGCACTGGGACTTTACTCCATCTGGGGGCTAGTGGAAGTACTACAGGACTTGAAAATGGAAATAGATTGGGTTTGGTTACTCCTTCTTTTATGTCCTCAAAAATAAAAAACAATAAAACATCATTTCTAAAATTGCATAGTTAAAGGCTATGTTAATAAAATGGTACTGACTTTAAATTATAAACAATATAATATTTGAAGGTAATCGACTACTCTGCTGACTTTTTTTTTTTTCTCTGTGTAGTTCTGGTGCCTGTACTGGATCCCGCTCTGTAGACCAGGCTGGCCTTGAACTCACAGAGATCCGTGCCTCTGCCTCCCCAGTGCTGGAATTAAAGGCGTGTGGCACCACTGCCCAGCTTGTCAGCTGACTTTTAAAACCTCAACCAGGCAACAGTATATATTAATGCTTAGCAAACACCTTAAACCTGTTATTTATGAGACCTCTCATATTTACACGGCAATGATTTTTATAATCTATCATGGTTTTCAACTACAGTTATAAAATTAATGTCATAAAATTGTTTCACCTTGAAAGGCTATGAATAGCTCGTACACGAAGTCACGGTCTGGAATTTTAACAGAATGGCACTTATATGATGGTTCTATGACATGGCACGACAAATCAGAGATTAAATTATCCAAGATTTTCTTCAGCACTCTAAAGAGCAGGTCATTATATCTTCCTACACAAGATTTTGTGGTAAAACGCACAGCCATGTGATAAGAATAATCAGGTTCCCGATAGGCTTTAGAAAAAGGTGAGAATAAAAACAATTGTGCCTTGCATTAATTTCTGCTATTAAAAAAATTCAAAAACATGTAATACTAAACATCATTAATCTTGCAAATCAGTTTAGAAAATTTACTTATCTAATAAAATACTCCATAAGTTTGTTTACAAAATACATACAACTAATAATTTTTTGTTTTTTTTTTTTGAGACAGGGTTTCTCTGTGTAGCTTTGGTGCCTGTCCTGGAACTCGCTCTGTAGACCAGACTGGCCTCGAACTCACATAGATCCACCTGTCTCTGCTTCCCAAATGCTGGGATTAAAGGCATGCACCACCACCACCCGGCATAACTAATAATTTTAATGAAAAAATGTCAGTGTCATTTAATGTCTAGCTACTTAGTAGAAGTGGCTTCTGTGAGATGGCAATACAGGCAAGTTAACATATCAAGGAAACACTGGAGGAGCTGAAGAGATTGCTTAATAGTTAAGAGCTGTGGTGCCCAGCACCCACAATCAGGTAGCTCATACCTGCCTATAATTCCATCTCCAGGTCATCCTTTTCTGGACTCTGCTGATACCTGTACTCATATGCACATAATTCACATACATACACATACACATAATAAATCTTAAAAACGTAAGAATGTTTTTGGGGACCTGGAGAGATGGCTCAGAGGTTAAGAGCACTGGCTGCTCTTCCAGAGGACCTGAGTTCAATTCCCAGCAACCACTTGGTGGCTCACAACCATCTATAATGAGATCTGGTGCCCTCTTCTGGCCTGGCGTGGAGACATACATACAGGCAGAACATTGTATACATAATAAATAAATAAATCTTAAAAAAAAAAAAAGAATGTTTTTGGGGGACTGGAAAAATGACTCATTTGCTTCTACAATTATTATATTATATTATATTATAAGTATATAATTATATTGTTACCAAAGATCATAAAGTCATATCTCTTCTTTATTGTAGTTTCTTCTTGGGTTTCTGCTTTGATAGTCTTATATGAAAGAGTACATGTGTAAAGTCCAGACAATGACTCCATAAAATCTTTCACTATCAGTTTTCCTGTGTTTGTTACATTTATTTGGCCATTCCCTAAACAGAAAGAGGGAATTCCTTGGTTACTTAACAGGTAACTTAAACATTATTCAGTAAACTCAGGACTATAAACAAACATGCCAAAAATAAAAATAAAATTTAATAGAATATTCCAACTTCAAAAACCCAATAAAAATTTTTTTAAGACAGGGTCTCACTGTATAGCCCTGGCTGGCCTTGAACTCATGGAGATCTGCCTGCCTCTGCCTTATGAGTGCTAGGATTAAAGGTGTGTAGCACTATGCCCAATAGCACAAAAGAAAATCTTAACTGTCCTATTACTCTATGGAAAAGTTACGCAAGCTGGGTATTCTTGTGAAATCTATGTTAATTTATTTGTTGGCATCTAGTTTTGACTGATTTATATCAGTAATTCAGTAAATTATATATACACATATATATTTACATAAGACACAAATTAATAATGCTGATATCCCAAGGTACTCTTCTAACATGAAAAATTACATATTATCTCACATTACTGGCGTTTCATGGGTAAACTTTAGCAGTTATGAAAAGTTTTGAGCAGCTTTGGGAAGTGAGGTACAAAATTATCTTCCTGAGGGTAGGCAGCACAGTGGAAGCGTGTGCTTGAGAGGGAGACTCTGGATTCAATTCCAAGCACTGGGGAAAAAAAATAACAAAAAAAACCTATCTCTTTGGTTAGCTCAGGCTACCTTCAAACCTGTAATCCTCCGGTCTCAAGCTCTTGAGTATTTCGCTCACAGGCCTGTGCCATCCTTTGGATCTGCTTTAGTTTTTGCATAGGAACAATGTAAGTCATAGGCCAAGAAAATTTCAATTTGTCTACATGTTGAGCAAATTTAATTACAGTTAAAATTACATTTGTTGGGGATGGGAAGTTTGCCCAGTGTTTAAGAGCACTTGTTGCTCTTGCAGAGGACCTGAGTTCTATTCCCAGCACCCACAGGGTGGTTCACAACCATTAGTAACTCTAGTTCCATGGGATCCAATACCCTCTTCTGATCTCCAAGGGCATCAGGCATGCATGTAGTACACATACATTCATGTAGGCAAGAAAATAAAATACACATAAAAATAAAATAAATTTAATAAATGTTTTTTTTTTTTTTTTTGGTTTTTCGAGACAGGGTTTCTCTGTGTAGCTTTGCGCCTTTCCTGGGACTCACTTGGTAGCCCAGGCTGGCCTCGAACTCACAGAGATCCGCGTGGCTCTGCCTCCCGAGTGCTGGGATTAAAGGTGTGCGCCACCACCGCCCGGCTAATAAATGTTTTAAATTCATTCTTTTCAACAATGACAGCACTTTAAAAAAACCGACGTTCACATCATTAAAATACATTAAAATAATTTACCTGTTAATGTATTTTCATTTGGCCCAATCCATAAGTAGGCGGGGTCCACTGTTTCTTTACTAGCACGATTAACATCCATACAAACAAGGACAGGGCTATCCTGATGTAACTTTACATATATTTTCACTGTGACAAAATAAATTTTTGCATAACTACATCATCCAACAAAATAAAGAAACACACTCCTATTGCTTTGTCCCAATGACACCAATTTATTCTTTCTGGATTTCAGTACTTAAAAAGCGGTTATAACATGTTGGTTGCTAGTTGTCATTTAGAAATGAAGTCATTTTTGCTTCTCATAGTAAGCTTTTAAACTGCACCTTGTTGGTCATTTTATACATATATATATATATATATATGCACACACACACACATATATATATACATATACGCACACACGTATATAATTCTGACAGTATATTGAAAAATGTATGTTAGTTCCTTACAATGTACACATTCATAAATAGCTCCAATAATTGTTTGAAGGGATCGTGGAATTAATGTTCAGAGGACGTGAGCTTGACTGACAAACTGTTTCAAAACTGAAAACGTGGTATTTCACCTGCGCTTCCTGTTGTCCCGTGAAGAGTTTACTAGGAAGGTGTTCTGCCGAGATCGATGCTGACTCAATTGGTAGCAGCAGTGACAGTGATCTCACAAGAGCTTTATTTTAAGACCCAATCATTGCAAGAGTCTGAATCTACAAAGGCTATCGTACAATTTGGTGGTGTAGTTGTGGCGCTAGGAAGGGAAAGGCCTTAATTAATGCGGAGACGTTCTAAAAACAATACAATGAAGTGGCTCTAAGTTATCTCAAAATTTTTCCTGTAGGCGTGTGGGAAAGTTAAACTGCAGAGAGTAGTAACAAGGGAGCTGGGGCTTGATGAATGAGTGAGTAGAGCTGGTTACAAGGAGAGACGAGCCTTCCAGAGGGACGTCCACCCCGCTAAGTGGCTTCACCCGTGACAAAGCCGAAGTATTTGGAAGAGAAGTGGCATCAGAGCACTAGAACCCGCGATGAATACTGGGATAGAAGGCTAGCGTTGCTTTGAGGACGAAATGACGCAAACTTCCCGAACTGCAGGGTACAGAGCAGACGGCACACTGGCTCTCTCCCTTTTCCCCTCCAGGGAAGAACCTAGGCTGGTGCACGGCATCCCCAGCTCTGGGGACCGGCCTTGCGTGGGAAGAGGCACTTATTACCTGGGCGTCCTACCGTGCCGTAAACAATGCCTTTGTTACTGAATAAGGAAGGACGTTGCGATCCAACTGCGGAGGAAAGAAAACCTCTGACTTATTAGTGTTTAGAGGACCCAGGGTTGAGCAGGGAGCAGGGCGAGGGGAGGCTGGGCGGGGAACTTCAGGCAGAGGGGAGGAGCCTGCGGGCCAAGCCCCACCTCCTAGGAGAGACCAGAGCAGCGCGGAGAGGGCCCACGCGAGCATCGCGGCTCAGGCACTGGCGGCGACAGCTGGGTTCCCTCCTACCTCAGGCCAGGCCCAACGCCTCCCCATCGCTCCTCTACAGAGCGAAGCAAACCGCCGAGGGCATTTCCCCTACCGGTCCGTGGCTACCACGGGGGCGGCTGCGCCCGAGGGCGCCTGCGTGTTCCGGCTCGGCGCGAGGGGCGGGGCGAGCGCGCGGAGGGCGAGCCCCCGCCTCCTGGCGCACGCGCAGTTGCCGGGCGCCGCACCGGCCGAGCCTTTCGCCCCTCGCGCCGGGTGCCACGTTCCCGCGCTCCGTCTCTAGGGGGCCTGGTGGTGTGCAGAGCGAGTAAAGGAAACGAGCGCGGGACTTCCGGGGACTCCCTCAGGCTAGGGGCTCAAGGAACTGACGCGAGAGCACAGTGGGTCCCTAGGACCGTGGTGGCGCCGAGCAGCCCGAGGATGCTATCGCTTGGGGATCTGAAGAAGGGCGAAGTTTGTGAGAATTTCCTAAAAGCGGGGGGGCCCAGCTCGGGAACTCCCCGGGCTGACATAAAAGGTAGCGTTGCCGGATCTGTCAAAGCTTCACACACTGCGTTCTTCTGGCACACAGAACCAAGATCGCGGAGAGCCTTCCGTGCACCAAAAGGGTGCCCCCAGACCTTCCCACGTGGAGGAAGGTTGGACCTTTATTTTTCAGCTTAGGGTGTAAGATGAGGTAGAGGGACACCCCCTTATGCAAATTTGTTCGGAAGTAACTTTGCTTTAGAAAATGGGCCCCATCGAAAGGCAAGAGCGTATGATCTTTTCCTCAGCTGATGTGAGATAAGTCAATATCAGGGAGGTCCGAAACAGTTTCAGTTCTTCTCCTCAACCCCATGCTGGGACCAAACCCAGGGCCTTCACTGAGCTGAATCGTCAACCTCATCGTGCGTGGATTCCCATCTTGACTACTGTTTAGGTGACCTGAAAGGCCCCATGTATTGTTTATTTCTTAGCAGTAGGACACCAGCCTCAGTAGTGGTTTTGAGTAGGTTGGCAGGTAGAGAGCCCAAGGTTCAGATAGGGTGCAGAATGGTTATTTGGGGTGAGATCAAGGGTTTTCAGTTTTATTTCCTTTGAGCCGAGTCAGTATTTGGACTGTCTCAGATGGTCCAGGAGCAACCTTTGTCAGTAATTTCATTTTTAGTCACTGTTAATTTTATCTATATAGCACAAGCGTGAAATGTGAGTCAATGAGTCAGATCCACCCACTGTCAGTTACTACGTCTAGACTCATGGTTTAGTCTCAACTGTTAAAACTGTGCATGTCTGTCTGTGCACTACAGGCATGCACTGCCCACCGAGGCCAGAAAAGGGTACTGGATCTGGAACTGGAGTTAAAGATGGTTGTGAGCCGGTCTTTGGATGCTGGGAATCAAACAACGGTCCTCTGGAAGTGCAGCCAGCGCTCTTAAGTGCTGAGACACCTCTCATTTCAGATTTAATCAAAGCATTTTCCAAATGTACAATGTGTTATTAACTTCCCACTTATTGCAACGGATTCTTACAAACTTTACGTGTTAAATTTCAACTGCTATGAAAATTTTAAGAATTTTTTTAATTTAAAGAAATTTTTAATTTTTAAGCTATTTTTAAGAAGAGTCTTAAAAATAGAATAGTGGGGCAGGAGAGATAGCTCAGTGGTTAAGAGTTTCTCTGCTTCTCCAAAGGTCTCCAGTTCCAGTATCCAGTTGGACAGCTTACAACAATCTATAACTCCAGCTCCAGGGGATCCAATGACCTCTTCTGGACTCCATGGACACTTGCATTCACTGATACATCCCCCATCCCTCCCATATACACATAATTAAAAAATAAAACTTTAAAAATAGAGTAGTGGTTTGTGTATTGAAAGTATCTGTGTACTCTTTTAAAATAAACTTTGTACTTTAAAAGTTTTATTTATTTGCTTATTTTTGAGACAGGATCTCTCTGTGTATCCTTGGCTGGCCTCACGGAGATCTGCCTGCCTCTGCCTTCTGAGTGTTGGAATTAAAGACATGTAGCACCATGCTCAGCAAGCCTAGAAAAAATAATCTTAGTTGTTATATTACCCTCTGGGAAAGCTACATGAGGTGGGAACACTTGTGAAATCTATGTTGATTTTCTTTATTCTTGACATCTAGTTTTGACTGGTTTATGTCTAATTCAGGAAACAAGAGAGACATTTTATACAAGACATAAATCAATAATGCTGATATCCAAGTTACTATTCTAGCATGAAAATTACGTATTCATACTTCAGACAGATGTATACTCCAGCAGTCTTTTTTTTTTTTTTTTTTCGAGACAGGGTTTCTCTGTGTAGCTTTGCGCCTTTCCTGGATCTCGCGCCGTAGACCAGGCTGGCCTCGAACTCACAGAGATCCGCCTGCCTCTGCCTCCCGAGTGCTGGGATTAAAGGCGTGTGCCACCATCGCCCGGCTTTTTTTTTTTTTTTTTTTTTTTTTTTTTTTGAGACAGGGTTTCTCTGTATAACAGTCCTGGCTGTCCAGAAACTTGCTTTGTAGACCAGGCTGGCCTTGAACTCACAGAGATCCACCTGCCTTTGCCTCCCAAGTGCTGGGATTAAAGGCGTGCACCTCTCTCTATGCCTGGCATGATATAGTGTTATTAATTCAAATTCATACTTTATTCATATTTCCTTAGTTTTCACCTTAGTGCAGCTGGACTGGAAACACAGCCAGGCTTCCATATTACGTTTGTCTTGTCTCCCCAGGCTCCTCTGGGTTATTGACAGTTTCTCAGATTTTTCTTTTTTTTTTCTTTCATTCTTTGTTTTTTGGGTGGGGGGTGTTGACTTTGACAGTTAACAACTGCTTTGATGATCCTGACTTAGCCTTAAATGATGAGGTGTTTTGTGGAAAGCCTCTCTACTGGACTTTGTTGATGTTTCTTCTCATTACTTTATAGTATTGTGGATTTTTGTGAGGACAGCAGCTGTAAAATGACATTCCCAGTACGTCGTATCAGTGATAGTACTAACATCATGCTTTATCATCTTTGATGTTAAATGTGTTCAGCTGGTTGAAGGAGCGGTTGTCAGGTTTTCCCACTGTAAGTTACCCCCTCCCTCTACCTACTTCACTGTTTGGAAGGATGGCACTATGTGGTCCTTACACATACAGAGAGAGGGGAGATCGATGCTCCACCTACTTGAGGGTGGAGTAGCTAAATAATCTGATTTTTATTTATCCCTTCAAGTATCTGTAGTCTGGAATAATCGTGTACAGCAGATAACAGTTTACTGTTACATATAGAGAACATTGTAACACAAAGTGTTAAACAATGTAACACAAAAGTTTCTAACTTTTAAACAACCAATTAACTATTCATCCTTATCATCCCTGTGAAAGTTTACAGTTCCTCTTCTGCTACTTTTGATGTGCTATTTTTGCTTTTAGAAACTAACAAACAACAAATTTCCCCTTTCAGTACTAAAATTAAACTAGTGTTTAGAGTATTTCTCTGAACTCCATATTTTCCTGCAGAACTCTAACTCATATGTCCAACTCGATGCTGCTGTGGTTCTGTGATTGTAAAGCCAGTTCGAGCCACTCATATGTTATATATGCATATGTGCGTAAACATAGAATTCCCACAACATAGTATATATATACATAATGCAGACTGCCTATACCAAGGCACCAGTTAACATGAACTTAGGTTCACAAAACATCAGTGTGCTCACTTAACTCACGAGTATGATTTTTGGATGTGGATAACTGATGACTGATGTACAAATCCTCAACCTTAAATCTCACATGAGTGTGTGTATGTGTCTTTTTCAGACAGGATCTCTCTCTTATGCAGCCCCTGGCTGTTCTGGAATTCGATCTGTAGACCAGGCTGGCCTGAAAATTCAGAGTGCTGAGTGCTGGGACGAAAGGGTTTGCCACTACACCTGCTTCATATGTATATATATATACATACATATGTTTGTATAATAACAATATAATTTTCTAGTGAGGATGACAGGGGAAAGTGGGATCATTCCTTCAACACTATTGGGCATCATCCCTCGAAGTGAAGTGCCCATTTGAGAGTGTCATTTTAAGGCTTCAGTGTGATGGTGATGAAACACTCTGCTTTGAAAAACTGTTGTTACTTCTCCTTCCCCTCCTCCAGTCAAGTGTTTTCCTCTCTAAAGTGCAGATGATGGGAAACGGTGTTGACTGATAAGTCTCTGTGAGCCAACACCTCCCCTAGATTTACTTCAGCCACCCCACATAGCTCCACTCTTTACTTTTCTGACACATCATATGTGTATTTTTGTAAAGTGTCATATTTAGAAGAAAGAAGATTCGTAGGAAATGAACACATATGTAGAGCTGTCTTTTTTGAGCAGTGGCAAATCAACCAGTTCTCAGAAAGGACAGCAAAATGAGAGAATTGTTCCCTCAAGTGAAACAGCTGGAGTGCTGTAAATGCCAAGGTACTTTTGAATTATCTCTATAAATCTGGGCCGAGGACTTTTAAAGTTTTGTTTTCTGAGAAAAGGGCTCATACTGTAGTCCAGACTGGCCTGGATGGACTTCATGGCAAGTCTCCTGCCTCAGCCTCTCAAATGCTGGGATCACAGTGGTGGGCTACTCCATCTGAAATGAAAAAACCCAAGGGTGGGGAAAACCTCCATAAATAACTCAATAAAGTGAGTTCTCATGGACAGTTTTCATGACTCTCATCCCCGGAGTCTAGATGAAAAGTTCCCGATCAGTCCGTGTCAGGCGAATCTGGAAGGTGGGCTTTGTCACACCTCTCTCCCTGCGACAGCGCCCTCCTCCCCGGTGTGTCTGAAGGAGCGGTCCAGAGACCATCACGGAGGCACTGTTTCCACCCGGTCAGGGTTCCTCAGGCTTGACATTCAAAAGTGGGTTGAGGGTGCGGAACCCGCGGGCGCTCCGAGCGCGCTTTAAAGCGGCCGCCAGCCAGCGCCGCTGTAACCCCGCGCACCGGCTGCTGGCCGGCTCCCGAACTGCAGCTGCGCCGACCGACGCCACCGAGCCATCCCCCGGCCTCCCCGCGCCCGGAATCTCCCGCCGGCCGC